TTCATCGCTAATAATAGCTCGTGGTGTTCCAAATCGGGTGAATATATTTTTGTGCAAAAATTTTAACACCGTCTTGGAATCATTTTTAGGTGTTGCGATGGTTTCTACCCATTTTGATACATAATCCATTGCCAAAAGAATGTACAAATCTCCAAATGATGTGGTAAAGGGTCCCATGAAGTTTATTACCCATACGTCGAAGAGTTCAATTTACAGAATATTTTGCCATGGCATCTCATGCCGTTTCGATATGTTTCCTGTTCGTTGGCATCTATCACATGACTTATAGAATTCATGCGCATCTTTGAACAAGGTTGGCCAATAAAATCCAGACTGAAGCACTTTCGTTGTTGTTTTCATTCCACCAAAATGGCCTCCATATGGTGACGAGTGGCATTGGTGTAGAATATCTTACTACTCTTCTTCTGGAATGCATCTTCGGATTATTTGGTCTCCACATTGCTTGAATAGGAACGGTTCATCCCAATAGTAATGTCGCACATCATGTCGAAACTTCTTTCGGCACTGGCTAGATAAATCTGGAGGAACAATACCATTACCAAGAAAATTAAGTATGTCGGCATACCACGGCGCAACCATGACAAATAATATTTTCTCATCAGGGAAATCCTCTTTAATTTCTGTGATGTCAGGACAATCAGGTTTGTTATCTAGCCTAGACAAATGGTCTGCCACTTGATTTTCTATACCTTTTCTATCATTGATCTCTAAATCGAACTCTTGTAGCAATAATATCCACCGAATTAGTCTAGGCTTTGCATATTTTTTATTAATAAGATATTTAATACCAGAGTGATCTGTATGCACAATTACCTTAGTGCCTATAAGATATGGCCTAAACTTTTCGAATGCAAATACTACTGCTAAGAATTCTTTTTCACTGGTGATATAGTTTACTTGTGCATAATTAAGAGTACGACTCGCATAGTATATAACGTGAAAGATTTTACTTTTTCATTGCCCTAGCACTGCTCTGACTGCATAGTCACTAGCGTCGCACATGAGCTTAAAAGGTTCGTTCCAGTCTGGTGGGATAACGATTGGTGTTGCCAAAAGTTTTTCTTCAAATCTATGAAGGCATTCAAATAATCATTAATAAATTCAAATGGATGATTTTATTGAAGCAAAAGACACAAGGGTTTAGAGATTTGAGAAAAATCTTTTATTAACCACCTGTAGAAGCCTGCATGTCCAAGAAAACTGCGTACACCTCGCACGTTGGTGGGTGGGGGAAGGTTTGCAATCATGTCCACCTTGTCTTTATCGACTTCGATGCCTCGGCATGATATTTAGTGACCCAACACTTTTCCCTCTGTTACCATAAAATGGCATTTTCCCAATTTAACACTAGGTTGGCTTCTTCATATCGTTTCAGTACCTTGGATAGATTGCCGAGACATCGGTCAAAATTATCACCCGAGACGGAGAAGACTTCCATAAATATTTCCATACATTCTTCCACCATATCTGAAAAGATTGTCATCATGCATCTTTGGAATGTATTTGGAGAGTTACACGGCCCAAACGAAATTCATCTAAATGTATAGGTACCATACATGCATGTTAAAGTGGTTTTCTCTTGATCTTTCGGTACTATGGCTATTTGGTTATATCCTGAGTATCCATCGAGGAAGCAATAAAATGCTTTTCCTGCTAACCTATCAAGCATTTGGTCGATGAAAGGGAGGGGAAAATGGTATTTCTTTATGGTTTGTTGAGCTTCTTGTAATCCATGAATATGTGTCAGCCCGTGACTGTTTTTGTGGTGAAGAGTTCTTCATATTCACTTTTAATCACGGTCACACCACCCTTTTTTGGCACACACTGCACCGGGCTAACCCATGAACTATCAGATATAGGATATATTACTCTCGCGTCCAACCATTTTATAATTTCTTTCATGACTACCTTCTTTATGATTGGATTGAGCCTTCTTTGGGGTTCCACCGAAGTGCTATGGCTATCTTCTATATTGATTTTGTGCATGCATAAGGTCGGAATGGTTCCCTTCAAGTCTGCCATTGTCCATCCAAAAGCTTTTATGTGCTGTGATAAATTATTCAACAAACTATTCTCCTGTTCGAGGTTAGGTTGGCAGAAATTATCACTGGTAGAGTTTCATCAATTCCTAGATAAACATACTTCATGTTTGATGGCAAAGTTTTAAGTTCCAGTTTCGGTGCATGTTGCAAGGATGACTCTTGAGACTTAACTTCATTATAATCTAAGGGTTCGAATTTCATACCTGATTTATTATAAAGAAGCCTCGGTTGATCCTTTATATTTCCTCCGTATCATGCATTGGTATCATTTTCAGGGCGTTCATTATTCAAATTTTAGTTGTCAGGGCCATGATTCTCTGAATCATCTTCTGAGCATAATTTGCTTGGGCCAAAAGTGTCTTGTTCATGCATCTCGGTTGTAGGGTCATGGTACAAAGCGTTGTATTCATTGAGTCTTAGAGATTCGCCTCATCCAAGGATTATTTTCTCCTTTACGTCTCTAATGTATTGGTATTCTTCTGAATTATCCACATATTTTATGGAGTTGAATACATTGATGGTGATGCTTTTCTCCCCTACTCGCATTCTGAATTTTCCTTTTTCACAATCTATTAGGATTCGCCCAGTGGCTAAGAAGAGTCGTCCCAGAATGATTGTTACGTTTTCATTAGCTTCGTAATCCAGGATGATGAAATCAACTGGAAATACAAATTTATCCACCTTTACTATGACGTCCTTTATTCTGTCCTCTGGCCGCACATATGATCGATTGGCTAGCTGTAGGATGACTGAGGTTGGACAGGCGTGATACCCATCTAGTTTCATAAATATAGACTTTGGTATCAAGTTTACACTTGATCCCAAATCAACAAGAGCTCATCCTATGAAGTCATTACCAATTGAGCATGGTATTATAAAGCTGCCAGGGTCTTTTTGTTTTGGTGGGAGTTTACTTACTGCCGAATAGATTTCTGTTCCCATGGCAACACATTCTATCTTCCGTTTCTTTGTAATAATGTCCTGAAGAAACTTGGCATAGGAATACATTTGTTCGATGGCTTCTAGTAAGGGTACATTGATACACAACTGACCCATAACATCAACAAATTTCTTGAACTGGATGTCATCATCATGCTTCTTCAACCGTTGAGGGAATGGTGGTGGAGGTCTCACATTGTCTGCTGTTGTTGCTGAAGAATCTCTGGCCTTGACCATGAATTTCTCATTGTTTGAGCGATGCCTTTCTGAACCTTCAGTTCTTTCCTTCTCTTCAGGTACTTCCTCTCGTTTAACATTTTTAGTTCGATCCTCTGGTTGTGTTATGCCATGGCGAGGACTGATCAGATGTTCTCTCCCAAACTTGTCATCTTGGTTGACCTGTTTTCCACTCCTTAGTGTAAGTACATTGCATTGTTCCTTCCCATGATGTTTAGTAATCTCCGTATCACTAGGGAGATTCCCTTGTGGGTGAGAGTGTAACGTCGTAGCAATTTGTCCTACTTGATTCTCCAATGCTCTTAGATATGAACTATGGCTTTGTAAAAGTGTTGCTTGGCTTTGTAACAAATTTCCTTGATTTTTAATTGTTACATAATGTTCGTTCATCAAGGTCTTCATGGAGGCCATGAAATCTTTCGTCGAAGCCATAAATTCCTGTAACGATAACTCCAAGGAATTAGTTTTAGAATTAGTATTAGAGGAAGAAGCTATACCTTTTTTGTTTTGTAAGGCTGCTGATGATGCTGATTCTGAAAATGTTGATGGTTAAAATTATTTTTCTATGGCCTGTAATTTACTGCTTGATTGTTTCTTTTTCCATGATTACTCCATGAAAAATTTGGGTGCTGTCTCCAACCAGGATTATACGTGTTTGAATAAGGGTTATTATTGCTCCGATTGTAGTTTCCCACAAAATTGGTTGACTCATGGTTTTCCAGACATACACTCTCATGATGGTTGCCATGACAAAATATGCATGCGTTATTGGTCACCTTGACTTCTCTTACCTCATTAGGACGTTGCAATTCTTTCAACATATTGGTTATGGCAGAAAGTTAAACTGCTACTGAATTCTTACCCTCTAATTCATATGCTCCAAATGTTTTTCTGCCAGTTCCCAATCTTGTATTTGGAAATTGATAATCATTATTTGTTATCCTGTCGAGGATGTAAAAAGCTTCATCGGGTGATTTGTCTAGTAAAGTGCCATTTGCTGAGGCATCTAGCATCATTCGAGTTGGTGCATTGACTCCATTGTAAAACATCACCACTTGCGTCCAATCGTGAAAGCCATGGTTAACACATTTGCGAAGTAGGCTTTTGTACCTATCCCAACATTCGTACATTGATTCATCATCTCCTTGGCGAAAACTCGCAATGTCATTGCGAAGCTGTGTATTCATATTAGGTAGATTGTATCGGAGTAGAAAACTCTTGCATAAATCTGCCCATGACTCCATTGATCCGGAAGGAACTCCGCTGAGCCAAGCTCTTTCTCTATCGCGTAGGGAGTAAGGGAAATGTTTTAGTTTGAGCACATATTCATGTACTCCTTGTTGTCGAAACGAATCACACACTTCAAGGAAACCGCGAACATGCTACCTAGCATCCTCATTGGGTGAACCACCAAATTATCCAATTGAGGTCATTGAGAATCGGGTTCAAATGATCTCATATTGCTCTTGGCCTTGCAACTTGAAGATTGATAGCTGCATTAGGTCCTAAATCTCCCATGTTATCTTGCATTTGGAGTTGGTTTAAATGTTCTTTGGTTTTTTGGGCACGCAACCTTTATCTGAACGATTGCTCAACTTCAGAGTCAAATGGTTCCAAAGGCTTACCAGCAGATTTGGAGTTCATGCAAGAATAGAAACCTACAAAAGAAAATAATAAACTATGTTAGACTAAATAAATATAAGGTGACACAAAAAGAACTTGTTATGGCTAAAAATTTCGTTAGTTGCCAATCACCGAAAATGGTGCCAAAAACTTGATCGCTTGTAAATGTATATGTTAAGGCAAGCAAATCCGTGCAAGTATACACAATCGATTCAAGTAATATAGGGTAAGTCAGCATTGTCTCCACAGGGATTGGATTGGAAATTTATTTTCACCACAACGAGAAGTAGTGTCACAAACTAATTCCTACTAGTGTCAGCTTAAGAACTAATATTAATAAAACAAAGAAGTGATTTAATGATTGCAGAAAAGTTTGGTTAAGGAAAAATAAGTATGCATAATACTGGAAAAAAATAAGACAAGTGTTGGTTTAAATATAATGCAAACAACCTCACATATTCAGACGTTTCACAGAGCACTTATGCTAAACTTTTGTCTAGACAATAATTATTCTAAGTTTAGAATGAATTACTATGACTTGCTAAAGCTGCCCAACAGGATTACTAGGTATTCTTAGATGGCTTCTATGGTAATACTCCTCAGCGTTAACTACAACCATTGGTTTATCAAACTGTTGCTGTAGCAATACCTCTCAGCGTGAACTATAGGCGTTGTATATCCTACTCTAGTGTCTACCCCTTTTATTCTTTTGAAACTCACTCCTTATCTATAAGGAAAACAAGTTAGAACTTCACCATCCCGGATTCATTCCATTGTTAAAATAGATCTATCTTAATTCCCTCAAATCTAAGAATCACTATCTAGACAAAAGGCTATCTCTCGATGCTCTTACATTGCCAAGACATGTTTTACCAAAACCCCAGGCGATCTCTCGATGCTCTTACAGCGTAAGGTAAAATATTTTAACGATGAGAAAAACAGTAATAAGCAAAACATAATTTATCATTCATAAAACCTAAAAATTTTGTTCAGGTAAAACAAAGTTTAACACCAAGTAAGACAATCATGGTGCTATCAAAGATCATCCAAGATTTAACGTTTAATACAACCCTAAATAGATAAAGAGTTAAGAACAAAGGAAGAATGACTCCCAAAATTGGGGGCTATGTCGTGACAATTCTGATCAGTATCGCGCTTGGCTTGGTGATCAGCCTCTCTCGAGACCTGATCATCGCTTTGCTAAAGTATGGTTATGGAGGACACCAAGGAAGGTTGGTTGGTTGACGGTGGGAAAGCACTGCAGTTGCTTGCTCACGCCTTGGATAAAGCTTTTCACCCTTCTTCCTTGTCTCCCTCTCTTTGGTGGCTACGACTGGTTATTTATAAGGAAAGATCTCCTAGGGCTCTGTATGCTTTTGGAGTTTCCTTAAATAACCGTTATTAAATGCTCATACTTAAAAAGGAAAGGTGACTAGCGTCTGTCAGAATAATTAAGGCGTGCTTGTACGTGAAGTAGGTCATCCAGCTGGCATGTGACATAGGAGGTTTCGTCACACCTGCTTCAGACTTCTTCAGATAAACCTTGCCTCGACGAGATAAATATGCTCCTCAGTAGCATCAGTCAGACCAAATAAATCTTGCCTAAGAGAAACTTATCCACCACAAGCTAATATAACCTATATGCAACTAAAATGTTGTGCATACTTTGTTTAGACGAGCAATAACTTAAGTGAAAAGACTGAAAATTAAGTCTTTTTACGGATTTATCACACGCTCACGAGGCTAGGAAGCTGAAAAGTCAGCGTGTGCATCCCACACGCGACATCGGATGGCCTAGCTTCTCGTCGACAGTGGCTGGTAACAAGATAGGAGCTAGGGTTTTAAACCATAGTTGAATGGGTTGGATCAACTGTAATTGGGTCTAGGTTAGTGGGTTAGGCTTGTGGGTCTGCTTCCTTTTGGGCTGAGTGGTATTGGGCCCTATTTGGGGTTATATTATTATGCCTACAAAAATGTAATTATAATTTTATTAATAAAATAATAATATAAAACTAATAATAATAATTGAAAATAATAATTAACAAACAAGACCGGATAAAAATGGGTGTCTACAGCTGGCCCTCTTTCCCCATTCTTATGTTAACAAGAATAGGGAAAAGACAACAAGACAACAAGTTTTTGTCCGATTCTCTTTGTCGCTTTGAAACTTGATGGTGATTATTTTCTCAAGGGAGATACTTTTAACATTTTGTTTCAAAAGAAACAATCTCAAAGGATACAATTGTTGTTTGTTGATGATATTGTTGTTTTTTGGGTAATTTTGATGTTGAAAATGACACTGCTCATCCACATTGAAGAGTTCTGGGCACCTTCAAATGAATTGTTTACTGAGGGTGTCGTTGTTCCTTCTCATTGAGGAAGTCGGGTCAATCTGGAGATGATTTTGGAGACGACACAGTTCCTTCACACTGAGGAAATTAGATTGTTTGAGGATGACACTGCTCATTCGTGTTGAGGAGATCTAGTCGGTGGACGACATTGTTCCTTCGTGATGAGGAAGTCTAGTCGTCTTTAGGGATAATTTGGAGATAACACGGTTCCTTTACGTTGAGGAAGTCTGATTGTCTGAGGATGAAATTTCTCCTTTGCGTTGAGGAGATTTGGTCGATGGACGAAAATTTTCATTCGTGATGAGGATGTCTAATCATCTTTAGGGATAATTTGGAGACAACACAGTTCCTTCGTGTTGAGGAAGTCTGATTGTCTGAGGATGACACTGCTCCTTCATGTTGTGGAGATATGGTCGGTGGACAACATTGTTACTTTATGATGAGGACGTCTAGCCGTCTTTAAGGATAATTTGGAGACAATAATCTCAAGTGAGATTAATTTTGTTTCAAGAGAAACTGTCTCAAGCAAGATGAAAATTTGTTTCGAGAGAAACAATCTCAAAGGTTTATGTTTCAAGAGAAACTATCTCAAGCGAGACAAAACTTTGTTTTAAGAGAAATAATCTCAAAGGTTTATGTTTCAAGAGAAACTGTCTCAAACGAGACAAAACTTTGTTTCAAGAGAAACAGTCTCAAGCGAGACAAAATTTGGTTTCAAAAGAAACAATCTCAAAGGTTTATGTTTCGAGAGAAATTGTCTCAAGCGAGACAAAACTTTGTTTTGAGAGAAATAATCTCAAAGGTTTATGTTTCAAGAGAAAATGTCTCAAGCGAGACAAAATTTGTTTTTAGGAAAACTATCTCAAATGAGATCAATTTTGTTTCAAGTGAAACAATTTCAAAATTTATGTTTCGAGGGAAAACTATCTCAAGCGAGACAAAATTTGTTTTTAGGAAAACTATCTCAAGTGAGATCAATTTTTTTCAAGAAAAACTGTCTCAAATGAGACGAAACTTTATTTAGAGAGAAAAAATCTCTAAGGTGATAGACAGTTTGTTCCTGCATGTTGAGGAGATCTAGTTTCTTTTAAAAGATCTGATTGTTCACTTCAGGATCTCAAATCTGTTGATGACATTATTCCTTCGTGTTGAGGATGTCTGGTCATCACCAAACTTTTCTTTCCTGAAAGATCAATATAAAAATGATGCATTTATAAATGACTATCTTGGATGTTATAATGAAATTTATTTATGTATTTGACCTGATGTTATTTCAGTAAAAATGACCTTTTTGAATTTGTCCTAGTGAGAGGAGAAAATGTTATTGAGAAAGGGAAAATTTGACGATGTCCTCGCGAGAGGAGAAAAATGGCCTTTGAGAAAAATTAAATAAGGATTTTAAGGGAAAAACAATCTTAAGAAAGACTAAATTGATGTTCGTAGATGAAAGATCTTGAGAAATATGAAATTAGTTTCTCAAAAGTAATTATAAAAGCATCCTTATAAGAAAGGAAAAACCCAATTTTATTGTAATGCGATGATGAATCTATGATTCAAAGATGCAAATTCATGTGACATGTATGTGCATATTTTATTGATCTGTGATGGGAATGATTGCATGAGCAGTCTTCATTCTATCTCTGATCGGTTGTCTTCACTCTTTGTTTTCACCAGCGTGCATCCTTGTAATTCTTGATTCGTGTTAATTTCTTCTTGTCCCAGTAAATTTTTTTCTCTGATAAAATTGGCTTCCCTTGTCTGGACTTGTGTAGAAATCCAATAGAGCTTCCCTTATGATACCATCATAATCCCTGCCAGATGGTTTGAAAATAAAATCTATCATTTCAAGCTTTGGAGATTGTGTACGCAGAGTTATCCTGTAGCGGGAAATCAATGACCACTGCCTGAAGTTGACCACCGTAACAATTGATAGAATATCATATTGTCCTGGAGAACCATGAGACACATCTATGCCAAGGATGATAGTTAGAATCTTAGAAACAACTGGAATTGAAGATGTTTTCTCAATTGCTAACATCGAATTCATTCCTCCAAGCTTTGCATTGATTTTTATAAGAAAACTCGTAAGGTGTTGATCATTAAACCTAGTTGGAGCCGTACACTATGTGACTATGACAAACTCGAAAAGATTCATAAAGATCAGAATTTTCCTTATCAGGTAAAACACAAAGGAGGAACTATGGAACTCTAAGAAATTTAGATTGGATGTCCTTGATCATTTCGACAACTTATTCATCCTTTCCTGTGGCTTCTGTCTAGATTTTTCAATTAGGGAAGTTCTTTGCATGGTGTTCAGGGCTTTTGTATAGCATTTCAAGGACACCAAAGAGTAAAGCTCAGTGGGAATATAAGTGGGACTCTTTGGCTTGCCAACATTAATGCATGGGCAATCATCAGAATAATGAAACTTGTATGTTGTGATAATGGACAAAACAATCATATATAGTAAGCTCCATTGTCTATGCTTTACCATTTTCATTCTTCACACCTTTTTGTTTTATTGAAAATAAATGTCTGCTCAATTCAATGATCTTGTATTCTTGTAAGATATAGGCCTTCAAAAATGTCCTCAACACTTATCATTTCTGGCTCCAGCACTGATTCTAAGCATGAGCTTTGTGTATGAGGCACGTGTTAATTACCAAGGCATACTCCAGAGAGATTGTCTTGTTTGAAAATGTTTTTCTTCTCCTTTTTATTTTTAAAATTTTGAAAAATGTCAATTAAAAGAATTTTGAAAAATGTTTAATAAAGTTTTTAAAAAAAAATATTGTTTCTTTCTAGGTTTCACAATTGAGACAAATTATAAAACTAGAGTTCATTGGATATCAAAGAATTAATTACTCTCTTAATCCTTCTAACTTATAGCTCCTTGACAAGTGTCAGGATTAGGGATTGGTTTCAGGCTGGCTTCATATTTTCTAAGGTTTCAACCATTAAGTCTTTCTTCTTGTACTTGCTCTTTAAAACGTTATACATGCCCCTCATTTCGGGCTTGGCATTTAATTGGGTGTAAACAAAATGTCGCAACTAGCATAATCAATTGCTACACCTTTTAAAACACTTCTATTTCAGTTCTCTGAAATCTTCCATTTGTTCAAGCTTCATAGACTCCTCTAGCAAAGGCAGTGCATAAATATCAGTCTAAAAAGGAAATTCCTATGTGCTCGTGTGAACTTGACTATAACATGTGTTCCTCAACTCCCTTAATCCATCTTCACTGAAACTCCTTATTTAGTAAATTTGATTTAATTTTTCATTGTTTGGCTAGCTGAATTCAGCTTTATTGTACATATATATTTTAAAATTGTCTTTATTTCGCTAGCTGAAGGATTCATGTTATCTCAAAGTCTTTGACTTGACAATCACAGTGGAGCAAACACCGAATTACCAAGTACCCGATCAATGTCATGGTTTGAATGTAATCTATTCATAAAGGAGAGATTTTTGAGTTTCCTCTATAACCAATTCCTTTAGCGGAATAACTTATCTTTATTATATACATATATAATTATCTCCTGGGTATAAGTATTCAACTTCTTAAGCTTGTCAAGAAGAATCTGTTATAGTCTAGGTGTTGTTGAAAGTCATAAAATCTCATCATTAGAGTTCAATTTCTAAGAAACTGACCTAAACGAGATTCACCTACTCGACCATTCCATCTGTTAAGATCATAATCATCATTGAATGTCATTAACGAAAGTAGAAACCAATCAGCTTTGCAATCTCATGTGCAAGATGGCCCATTTTGTTCATATCCTTACATACCTGAATGCCAAGCCCTTAACTGTCTCTTCATTCGAGGAGAAGGCTATTTTCCCCTAAAAGAGAAGGGTATATATTTTGTTATATTTTCTGGAGTAAGATTAAGGATTCATATTTTACAAAGGTTCAATCTTGTCACTTTCCCAGAGGCCATAACCATAATACTCAAGGGAGCTTTAATTCAAATAATATTAAAAGAACTACAAGATTAAAACTTGTTCAATTATATAGCCTTATAAGGTAGCATAAATTCAATCATTAAAAGATTTAAAAAATATTTAAGCAAATATCAAAGAAAGAACAAAAATGAGTTCAAACAAAACAATGCTCTTAATGCAAGTGGTAGATGCAATAACTTCTTGATCAACATTAGAATGTCCTATCATTCTTTGAATGCCCATGCCCCTAAATCAATCAGATTTTGGACCTTGCTTCAATGCCCCACAGTTCTCAACGGAATGTCTGGAACTTCTATGTGATAAATACACACATCATCAATATCATAGACCTCGGGATATGGGGACCCTTTTGGCTTGGACTAAATGGGAGTCACAAGACTCATCTCAACCAGTGTTGGAAGTAATTCCTAATATGTTATTGGAATTGGATCAAATTGATTTTTTTCGGATCATCTTATTAGGCTCAACCCTACGGTTGGTTGAGCAGGCTCCCACCGTACTAATTTCAACTTCTTCCTTTACTTGTTCGAATCTTCCTTCTATTCTCAACGTGGTGTCACGTGATTAAGATCACATTCATAAAATCCTCCACGAATTAACCCCCATATTTTCATGAATGATGAATATGAAAATGTTTAAATAAATGGAATGCATATGCAAAATGCAGATGCAAAAAATGTTGATCCTAATGATGAGTATCATAGAACAATTTTCATCAGAGATAAAAGTCTTCACATTAAAAGATAGTCCATTTTTACATACATGTTTTCACTTGGACGATGAGTCTGAAATGAGTTGATGTTTCATCTCAGAACGTCTTCCTTGAAAATTATGCCTCTCAAACGCTCTGTAACATAACTTAGTTAATGCCCCTACAGTGATGAAGTCACGCATCAGATCAATCGATCATCTTTCCAGTCTTGAATGTTGCACGATCTTCGAGCAAGTCTTCTTCTTCTACTCTCTGAACTTCTTTTAGCCATCGATGCATGCGAATGCTTGATTTAAAACTTTTATCTCTCCTTGTGAAAATTTTCACTTGAATATCCCCTTAAGGATCAACACTTTCGCATTATGTCATGATGATGCAATGCAAAAAAAAGGATGAAAAATTTCACAAAAAGAAAAGAAACGAGCTAGTATAGGTAAGATAGTCATTAGAATTAAAAGATGCTATTTAAATATAACACCTACCCAATCATAGTATCTACCCAAGCATGCTTTCATTAGATAGTAATCCTACCCGGATTGCTTTCCATCCAAAATGATTTGTTTTCAAGAAATTGATCCTAACCACATGGTATATAGTTCGTATGCTTTTATTCAACAAAATTTATTCAATAAATTTAAAGAAAAATGTAAAGGTTCATAAATGCTCCTCCTTTGTGTACACTTATTATGGCACCTACTTACAGATAGAGGTTCGATATGGCTATACCTAGGGTGACCGTTCTACGGTTCACTACATGCATGGTTTTGGCTCTATGAGAAAAGGGTAGTCTAATTGTCCTTGATATTAGTGCTCCATCGGGTGACCAAATCCTCAATTCTAACCCATTATAGGCAAAAAACATATCGAGTTCAAATCGAGGGGATTCACTTCCTTATACCCATACGAGGAATAAATCCCTACGAAGGTATAAGGCATGTGTACCCCAGAGGTTATTTGCTAAGACTCACACGAAGAATAAATTCTTACAAGAGTAAAACGTTCACCCCTACTTACTTGGAACGAAGCTCGGGTCTAGAGCTTATGTCATGCAAATGCACGTGAGGTGTGTGAGGAAGAACATATAAACCTTTGACTCAAAAAAGGAAAAAATCTTGGCAGGAACTTTAACACAATAATAAACAAATTAATCTGAATACAAAAATTGAATATAAAGTTACAATAATAAACCAATTAGAGTTTATGTCATGCAAATGCATATGTTAAGTTAAGGGTTGATATATAATAAACAAAAATATAGGGATCAAAATGCATGAATACAAAAATGAAGGGAGCTAATCACACAATAATATGAAATTTCAAGCATAAAATAGTGACCAGGTTGCATTTAAACAAAAATCCGAGGAACTAAAAACACAAATAAACCAATTTTCAATAATATAGAAAATAAAGGACTAAAACATAAACCTAGCATAATTTAAGGACCACACACATGATTTAACCATTTCATTTAATGGCTAAAATGAAGATTTACAAAGCCTGCGAGGACCAACATGGAAATTGACCACGCGCAAAATTATAGGAGCAGTTCCCCTCGAAACTACGTAGTTTCATTCGGCCTATATAAGGCCCTTCTCCTTTTTTTCTTTCAGTTTTTCTTTTTTCCCTCTCTTTCTCGCTCTTAGATGAGACTTGAATCCTCTGCCCTTTCTCTCTTCTTTCAATCCGGTGAGCCACCGATGAGTGACTCCTCTACTAGTCGTCATGCCGGTCATCGTCTGCCGCTGTATTTTGGTGGCCTTTCGAGCCCCAATTACTCTGGTGGCTCCGTCATGAGGCCCCAAACACAGTTCTAGGATCAATTTTCCCAAAAGAAGCCTTAATTTACACAAATATATTGAAAATCATTCAGCTTTCAACCTATTCAATATCTTTTACCAGCCATCGGATCACCTTGCTTTTAGAGTATGTTACTCCTTCCTCTTGCGCGCTCTTCCTCACCGTTTGGATCTACGGTCGAACCCTCCGAACGTTGAAGAGGAAATTTGACTGATGGAAAGCACCTTTTCTTTATTTGTTTTTGTTCAAATGACTCTCTACCCCAAAAATCTTCTTATTCTTTCTCATTTTTTTAGTTATTTTTTCTCTTTGTTCTATTGGGTTTTTTATTAGAATGATTTCCCCCACCGAAAAAAACTCATTTGAAAATATGTTTGATTATGATTTATGGTCATTTTGGGTGAAATGATGATCTCCTTTTGTAGGGGGATCATTGCCTTAGATTTGAATAGGTAAAATCTCGATTTTTCGGGATTTATTTTTTAAGTGGGTTTTTAATTTGGTAAGATTGTGATTGATAGGGTTATTTTCTATCACTGTTCGGCCTATGTTGTTGATGGTGGCAGCGGTGTGGATCTCTGGTGGTGACGACGACGTGCTCACGAGGCTGGGAAGCTGAAAAGTCGGCGTATGCATCCCACGCGCGAGATCAGATGGCCTAGCTTCTCGTCAATAGTGACTGGTAACAAGTTAGGAGCTAGGGTTTTGAAACCCTAGTTGAACGCATCGGATCGACTGTAATTGGGTATGGGTTGGTGGCTTAGGCCGGTGGGTCTACTTCCTTCTGGGTCGAGTGGCATTAGGCCCTGTTTGAGGTTCTATTATTGAGCCTACAAAAATATAATTAGAATATTATTAATAAAATAATAATAATAATTAAAAATAATAATTAACAAATAAGACCCATACAAAAATGGGTGTCTACAATAAATATTAAAAAGTATAAGAATTTATTTAAAATTAATTATTTATTATATTTTAATTTTAATAAAATTTTAATAAAATTATATTTTTAATAAAAATAATAATTAATTTAAGTGTTTTAATTTGATTAGAAATAGGAATTTTAAATTATAAAGTTAGAACCACCATTATAATCAGTCACCGCCGATGAACTCTTGACTCATCGAAAAATCGATTGCCTTAACATCTATTGCTACGATTGCTGTCCCAGTTCGCTGTCGCTCAGTTCGACGTTGTCCAAAGGAGAAGTTATGCCCAGTTTTTTGTTTTGTCGTCGTCTTGTTTTTCTTTTCTTTTTTTACGCCGAATACCTTCAAAACATCATCCCGACCGTCGGCCAGCCTAGTTAGAACTGCCACGACCGCCGTCCTTTTTCGTTCCCAGCTGCCGCCTTGTGTAAGGCCACACAGTTCACTCCGATCGTCTCTTCTAGTTTGCGCCAGGTAAGTTTTTATTTTATTAATGGTAAAATCACATTATAGCCCCCTCTATTTGTGTTTTATTTCAGATGTTTAAATTTCATGAATACTCCCCATAGTTTTCTCCATTTATAGTTTCGTCTGTTTTAATGTACACAGTTAAATTTGTTTTAATTTAAATGGCCAAATTGCATGTAAAACACTCCACTTTCCCATGTTTAGATTTTAGACTTCTAGGTTTTAAATCTTCTATAATTTGTACTTTATTTTTATTTTGATAATTAATTTCAAATTGAGTCTTTGATTTTAATTAATAATATTAATAATATTTTATTTTATTCATTAATTTTTATTAACATAAATTCATATCATTTGTTATTAATTGTTATCATTAATCTTAATAATTTAATGCTTAATTTTTACTTGATATTAATTGAGATTATTTGAATCATGGTAATATTACTTTTGATATGAAAATTTAAATATTGACCATCAATTTTAATTTTGATGCTTAATTTTAACTTGTTATTCATTTTTATAATTGCTTTTGATTTAGTATTGATTTTGATCAAATAAATATTAATTTGGATTTTTTATGACTATTTGAACTAGTTAATGGATCTTAATTTTACTCCAAAACAAGCAAAAATGGAGTTAAGCGGCATCTCGATATGAATTCAAAAGATATCAATATTGAGGTACATTCATTGTGATTAATTGAAGGAGTTATGTATATTAAGTGTTGGGGTTAAAATGTTAAATTTAGCTTTATGAAAGAAAATTTAATTTTTATTTATTAATTATAAAAAGATTTTTTATATTTTATCTAATATTTATGTCGTTAATTTAATGAGGTTTTTCGAGGATCTCTATATTTTTATAATTATGATTTTTACTTTTATTATTTATTTTATTTTTATGTAGGAAAGAGTTGAAGTTTTACATAAAGAGGAAAGTCTAATAAGTTTTTATACTATTACAACCAAGTTAGATACCATGATTGATTAAATAAAAAATATTGAAAAGACAGTTGTTCGCATGGTTGGTCTATTTGATGAAAATTAAATTAAGGATAAATGTGTAAATAATAGACCACATGGGGAAGATTTACATGGTGGATCATTCAAGGAAAAGGTATCAAACAATAGATCAAAAGAGAAAAGTGTAGATCATGGTTCATTGAAGGGTGAATGTTTAGATAGTGGATCACAAGAGAAGGAACTATTATGTATTATTTGATAGTCCTAATAGAAAAGTGTGTAACTCTCCATTTATCAATTTTTATCCTGAGTATTCTTCTCCTCCATTGCAACGTAGTGGTAAAAGAAAACTTGATGTTAGTTTTGGAGATAGTGTAAAGCCGTCTACTGATGGTCCACCAAAACTTCCTAGTGAGATTATTAACTTTCAATTTGGTGAGAATCAATTTCCTAGTCAATTAGTCACGTTGAGGAAAACTCTAATAATAAAAAAGATGTGAAAAAAATATCAAGTAATCACAAGACATCGTCAAAGATAAAAAATTATCAACAGAAAAAGAATGTTATGTCATCTGTTGCACTTACAAATTCTATTGATGATTTGAAGATAATAAATTTGGCCATGAAAAAGAAAGCTCGAACTCCTAAAAATATCATAACGGTGAGTATAAATTATATTTTATTGTATATATTTTTATTAATTGTTTGGTTAATATTAATACTTTTAATAATCATATATAAATCCAAGTAGAACAAAAAACATGTCATGATAGTAGAGAGGCATCGTCAGGTAAAAGGTTATAAACAAAATGAGGTAGTAGCATTATGAAATTATTATAGTTACTCAAATTGTGTTATTTGTTAAATATTTTATACTAAATATTAAATATTAGTTTTTTTATGCAGGATAAATATAACATAGGTGATATGATATCGAATTTTGTTCAAGAAACTTGTTTCATTGGTGACACATATAAACGATATTTGTGTTTCCTAACACCTGAAAAACGTACAATTTGCCTCAATGTTGCTACTTGGAAAGAGAGGACAGACTATTATTATAATGTTAAAGGAAAATATTTTGGATGTCAATGATGCTCGAAGTGTCTTTCCAGGAAAATGATTATGTGATACAGAAATATAATTTAATTTTGAAAATTTATTTAAATAATTAGTTTTTATATCATTAATAACAATATTAATATATTTTCTGTAATGTAACAGTTTATCGATATGTATTTGTACGGTTTACACATCGCCGACACCGTTTTTCGCCCGGGCGGGGAAAGACTGATACCGACTCGGGGGTTTTCCTTTGAAAAACATTTCAAAATGTGAGGAGTCGCCACCAATAATTTAAGGTGCGATTGAGACACCATAAAAATCGGGTGATTTTAATAAATCATTTTATTTTTATCAAAATGGCAAGTTTTAAGGTCTGCTAAAATCCAGAAATCAGGTTTGGGAGTCATTAACGCACGGGGAAGGATTAGCACTCCACAAGCGTCCAAAAATTGGTACCTAGTTGATTACCCTATATTTAAAATCAGAAATTTTGAGTTCGATTTTTATTTAATTTGAAAATCATTACGGATGCAAAGTTAAAAAGGACATCCGTTTATTAAGACCGATAGCATTCGCCTCCTAACATAAAGGCCATAGATCAACTATTATGGCTAACGATTAGATATTGCCTTAATTTTAAAAATCATGATGTGATTTTGAAAAGGATGTCGATCTATTTTGGGAATCACCGATAGTCGCCCCCGAGCATACTTGCGGGAGATATACCGATAATTCCCTAATAAGTGAACATTGCTTTAGGTTTAAAAATAAAATCCACTCAAATTTATTTTTATTAATCCTATTTAAGCTAAGGGTAAATTAAGGTCTTTTTCTAGCTTAAAGTATAAAATTATGAAAATCAAAGGACCTAGAGGCATAAACCTAAAAATGTAGGCCCTAATATTAATCCTATTTAATTTTAATCAATTATCGAATCGAATAATCGAGATGGTGGCCAACTCATATTATTCCCTAAATTAAAAGAGTAATTTGAAATCTAATCTAAAATAGAGGTTATAATACTAACCTAAATTAATTTTAAGATTCGAATAATTAAATTGGAACCTAGAGCAAAAGGGAGGACCAAATTAAGAATCCTCCTAATTTAGGAAATAAATATAAATTGAATAATTAAAACACTATAGACTAAATCTAAAAATTAATCTATCAAGTACTAAAGGGATACGAATATTAAAGACAAATAAAATATGTAAAAGTACTAAAATTAAAGTACACAAAAAAAGGGTAAAAATAAAATAAAATAAAGGACTACATTGCATAAAAATATAACAGTAGCTAAATCGGAAATAGACAGTGACTAAATTGCTTAAAATAAAATAAAAATAGCTAAATAAAAAATAAATAGTGAATAAATTAAAATAAAATAAATAGAATGATAAAAAGTGCAATAAATCAGTAAAGGGAGGTCCATTGACCAAAATGCGAAAATATGGCAAACATAGGGGGACTAAAACTTAATTAACCAAAAAGTAACAAGCATGCCAGAAAAAGAGGAAATTATGAAATAGGTCCCTTTACAGGATTATTTTGTAAAATCACGACAGTTTGGGGGACCTAAAATGCGATTTTCCCTAAATTTGTTTTATAAACAACTTTTCTTTTCGTTTTCTTGTCTTTTTTTTCATTTAAAAAAATCTAGAGAGAGGCTGTCTCCTCTCTCTAGAAACTGACCCGTCGTCAGTTGTCGTTTCGATCACCGCCAGCCGTCGTGCTGTTGTCGATGGTCGTTGGCCACCAAATTTCACGGGCTTGCTCCACTCTATGCGGTAGTCACGAATCTGGGCTCGATTTTGCAAGAATCGGCCTCCAACGCCATGAAACAAGCCGAAAGCTTCTTGACTTCCACCGCCCGAGCCTCCATCGTCCACTGTTGGATCGAGCCCAAATCAAGATATGCTTATCCCATCCTCAAGGCGTTCCTCATCACCGTTCATATCTGCGAATGGAGGTCTCCGCCGCTGACGAAGCTCCGACCGAAGGTAACCCTATTTTCTCTCTTTCTTTCTTTTTCAAAAGTTAATAAAATAAAACACCAGAAAAAAACTTGGAAACTTTCTTTTTTTGCTTTTTATTTCTTTTTGAATAGAAAATGGAACCCCTCGGGGTTGTTACATTGTGGTTTCTTGGGTTTTATACCCGTTTACAGAGAATAAATGAAATGATCAGAATTTTGTTATCTTCTTGTTGTTTACTACTGCATGTTGCGTGGAGCTGGAGTGGAGATGGCGTGCTGGAGCGGCAACCCCTCTACTTGGGGGCAGAGAACGACAGAAGCTGAATGGGGGGATTTGGTGACTACCTAAGGTCTAGGGTTAGACCTAGGTCAGGTTTAGTTTTAGGGTTGGTTTAGGTTTAGTGCTTTAGGCATTTGGGTCATGTTATTTTAGGGTTTGGTTTGGTTTGGATGGGGTATATTTTGGGCTTAAGGCCCAATGGTAAAATAAAAAAAATTGTGATCACAAATGCCCACCTTATTTGCTCATTGCTGTGAAATACTAATGAAGCAAAGATAGTAGAGCGCCATTTCTTAGCAATCTATGTTCATCAAGTTACTACTTCTTCTTATCATGATCTGTCCACTGGAAATATTGATCACTTGAGTGAGGCGTTGCTAGTTTTAAATGTCGTGAATCAAGCCAAGGTTGAATGAACTCTTGATTATGAGTTCTCTACTAGAAATGTTGGTCCCTCAAGTGAGGCGTCACTGATTTGAAGTGCTGTGAATCGAACCAAGGTTGAATAAGTTCTTCTCATGATTTTTCTACTTGAAATGGTGGTTCCTGGTATGAAGCGTCGCTGATTCGAAGTGTTGTGAATGGAGCAAAGGAAATGTTGATCCCTCAAGTAAGGCATTGTTGATTCGAAGTGTTGTGAATCGAGCAATAGGTCAAACAAGTTCTTCTCATGAATTCTCTATTAGAAATGTTGGTCCCTCATGTGATGCGTCGCTGATTCAAAGTGTCGTAAATTGAGTAATAGGAAATGTTAACCCCTCTGGTGGGGTGTTGTTGATTCGAATTATTGTGAATCAAGCAAAGGAAATGTTAATCCCTCAAGTGAGGTGTTATTCGTTTTAAGAAAAACAATCTCAAATGATATAAATCTTCTGTTTCGAGTGAAACTATCTCAAGCGAGATAAAATATTATGTTTTGAGTGAAACTATATCAAGCGAGATAAAATATTTTATTTCGAGTGAAATTATCTCAAGCGAGATAAAATCTTTTGTTTCGAGTGAAACTATTTCAAGCGAGATAAAATCTTCTGTTTCGAGTGAAACTATCTCAAGCGAGATAAAATGTTTTGTTTCGAGTGAAACTATTTCAAGCGAGATAAAATCTTTTGTTTCGAGTGAAACTATCTCAAGCAAGATAAAATCTTCTATTTTGAGTGAAACTCTCTTAACCGAGATAAATCTTCTGTTTCGAGTGAAACTATCTCAAGCGAGATAAATCTTCTGTTTTGAGTGAAACAATCTCAAGCGAGATAAATCTTCTTTTCGAGTGAAGTAATCTCAAGCGAGATAAATCTTCTGTTTCGAGTGAAACTATCTCAAGCAAGATAAATATTATGTTTCGAGTGAAACAATCTCAAGTGAGATAAAATCTTGTATTTTGAGTGAAACTATCTCAAGCGAGATAAAATCTTCTGTTTCGAGTGAAACTATCTCAAGCGAGATGAATCTTGTTTTAAGAAAAAAGATCTTGAGTGAAATGAATCTTTATGTTTCGAGTAAAAATCGTCTCAAGTGAGACAAAGTTTGTTTTAAGAAAAATAATCTCAAGTGAGATAAAATTTCGTATTAAATGAGACTGTCTCAAGCGAGACAATTTTTTGTTTTGAAAATGTTAAATTTGAAGTTGATTGCTCGCTCTTGCTGAGGACGTCTTGTTGTCTTTTAATCTCATTCTTTCCTGAAAGATCTGTACAATGTAGCTGAATAAAACTGTCCTGAATGTCCTCATGAGAAGAGAAAAGGTCCTAAGAGAAATCTTAATGGTACCCTCATAAGAGGGGAAAACTAAAGCTTTTATCGTACATGATGATGGATGATGGATGTTTGATGCAAAGATGCAAATTCATGTAGGTGTAATGCATAGTTTTCTTGATTAATTGTAGTTAAAAGGTGCTCAAGCAATCTTGGTTCCCTTCCTGATCTGTTCACCTTCAATATCCTCCCACACCACGGTGTACCATCGCATTTCTTTGCAAAAACTTGCTCTTCTTGCTCTCTAACATTCAAATTCTTTGCCCCAATTTCTGATTCTGAGCTTCTAGGTTTGAGGGACCTTTGTCAATTTCCAATCTAAACTCTCCAAAAAGATTGTCCTGTTTGAACCTGTTTTATTTCTTTTTATTTTCAAAATATGGAAAGTTCGTTTAAGAAAACTATCTTTCTTTTA